AATTCATGACGCATTTTACTTAATGATGTGCCAGTATAACTACGGTCAGAATGGTAGGCTTCTTTTTCACAACCATTAGATTGTTTCGCTTCGTGTAAACCCAAAATCATTAATCACTGAATCCATGTTACAGATTTCATTATACTTTGACTTAATCTTCTATCAAACAAGCATTTTCATTGGCCAATTTTATACTATGACTTAATCGTGTATGAAACAAGCATTTCCATTGGTCATTTTTATGCTGTCATCCGTTACATAAAAGATCGACGTCAATTTTTAGCCTTGCTTTCGATTGGCCAATACGGCGATGAAAAAAGTTAATGATTAACTCAAGCTGTTTTTACGTAATAAATTTTTATATCATTCTATGTTTTGACTCAATGACATAATAATTTCCTGATAGCTTTCTATTTTTTTCTTTTCTTTGAATTAGTACCCGCAGTAGAGAGGATTTACATTTGTTTCAAACCTTGTTCTGCCCGGCAAAACATATGCTGTCTTTAATAGATTTTGATGTAAATGAAACATAATGTATTATTAGAAGTTTAAATTATCACAGTACATGTAGTTATTATTGTATTATAGTCTTTTATAGAAAAATATTGTTTTAAATGTGATTTCCTTGATTTAAATCTTAATTTGTTTGAAGACATCTTATCAAAACATACTCCTAATGACTTTTTATATGTTTTCCTCCATCTATTTTCTTTAAAACACATCAGGAATATTATGCATCAATATATATACTAAGTTAGACGTTGATATTGCAAAATCAGTTAAATCGACGATGATTTTGACAACTAAAATGCAGAACAAAAAAATATACTCTATAAATGGCAGCCATCTTGAATTGTGCATCGGTAGAGCGAATACGGTCTTCTTTCGGTCATGTGATGAATTATGATGCACTTATAATATGTCCCGGTATTAATGATATGCTTTTTTCATAAATTTACTTTTCAGGACCAGAACATAGATTGGTCGGGTTTTGACTTTTGTTGCGGTCTTTCAAAATGTTTTTATTCCTTGAAAATGTTCATTAGAGAATAAGACGACAACAACAGTTTAATTTAGAGTCTTTATTTTTGAAAACACATTTCCGTGTATATTTCTACCGACATTGGTATGCATTGATATAATCCGATTTTAACCCTTTTTATCCATATCGATTTACATTTACAAATTAGTCGTCACCATCCATATCAGTAACTCCATGTAGCCATCCCGCATCATATCAAGGCACGCTATACCACACATATTTATATCATCGAATATTACTTTTTATCAATCACATAACTTCTTATCAAATATTTTCTTTACTTTGTAAGCAGACATAAGATATATATGAAATACTTACAATACCTATTGTTATAAGGAAGAATACTTTTGTTGTTGGTAACATAATAATTTTCATTGCAAATTACACCAGTTACAATATTGCAAAAACAATAGGAGCACAGGCATATAATCTTGAATTCATATATTCATAAACACATTTCCCGATAGTAGAAGGCGTGTTTAATCAACACTATTGAGGACATCGGTAACAATCTAGCACATATTTTTGCAATTAATTGTCATTTGTATATCACGGAATATTGAGATTTATTCAAATTACCGTTTTTTTGTTGTTTTTTTTCCTACAGGACGAACATTTCATTCTGATTGCTAATAATACGTACTTTGCATATTGGTCAGGTAAAACATGGTTATTACTTTTGTCTTGTGTAATATTGCATAGGTTTAAGAAATATTTATTTGTAGAAAACATACTTATTTCTACGTTCAGGTCTCTAGCGCTAGTGTTTCTAAAAGCACGAAACAGCTGTATGATATTACTTACTTCATAATGAAATATATATCACTAACTTTGTATTGGGTTGTGTGCATGGCATACGGTATTTAACGAAATAAAAACATCTTTTTTGTGATCTTAACCACATTGTAGATAATACTACTTATTCATTATATGGATGATTGAAATAGAAATAACGTAGAATGCGTGAACTTATTTTGAATTATCATATACCAATGAATATATGTTTATTACATGTTACCATGCATCGTACCTAAGAGAAGCAATTCTCGAACGTCGTGAACTCATAAATGCGTCATATTGGAAGGATTGTGTTATTAGTGAGCAAAATATATTTATATGGAGCAAATAATTACTTCGATATTGAGGAACAAAAAAGAGAGAAAGATTGAAGTTTGAAATGTCACATTCATTACCTATCAAGCGTGAGTAGGTGAGTAAAATGTATGAGCAATTTAAAGTTAAAAAAACATTTTCACTCGGTTAATATAATTCGTAACACTAACGCCCTTTCTTAATTTGCAAAACTGATCTAAACAGAACATCATTAAAATGTATGCCTATATGTTTTAGGATTAATCCAAGTGATTTATGATTAATCAAATGCAAACACTCTTTCTATATCAGATTGATTTAAATGTTTTATCAATATGTATATTTTTTGCGATAAATTCAATTGCATACAAACTCTATGTACATATGATAGTTAAAAATAAAGCCTCTCGCATCGTCATCAATAAATACATTCAAGATCCTCACATCGCCTTTTTTTGTATCCTACGGAAATTTCATTGTGTTTTATTCTTTCATGTGAACGCATGCACTGGAATATAAAAACATGTATTCGAAACAAGCCGATCTCTATCTAAATAGTTTTGGCACGTTCGAATTCAAATAGATTTTCACGGAAATCAAGTTTCCAGAAGAAGCTTACATAGCATAGAATACTAATTTTCATCTTAAAATGAATAATATCTAAGTATTTATACATTTACATAATCATGTACAGATTTATATAACACATACCGCATTCAATAACATCTTAATATGCGATTATCTGGCAAGACGAAATGACTGAAATGTTGCATTACAAATGAAATCTTTGATTATTATATACAGTCGAACCTCGTTATTTCGAACTCGTATAACTCTAAAACCCCGTTTATTCGAAGTATGTGGTCTGTCCCGGCCAAACTTTTCACCAAACATTCGATTTCACTTAAATCGAATACTCAGATAACAAAGTTTCCACTGCCCACGCCGGCCTCGAAATAACGACGTTCGACTGTATGTCGAACGTTGAATATATTAGATTATATATTAAAAAGCATTGAAAAATATTCTGGAAAAGTATACACTAATGATCGGTAAGCTTATCGTTTCTGACATATTCCCTAAAAGGCATTTCATTTTAAAATGGTTCGCACTTTCTTTCCATTATCTGATGGAACCTGCACCCAACATACTGTAAGCTTATCCAGTCCTAACGTGGACTTGTGTATTATTAACACAGAATATATTCTCAGTCTATTTGTAAGTAAAAGTGTCCCATTATCATCGTACTATTTTTAAACATTCCCTTGCTTCTCGTACAGTCAACTCTACCAAACACTTTCATTAATCCATAAAATATTTGATGAAAATGGCAAAAATTAACATGTTTAACCCTTATGTAGTAAAGCTAATGTAACTGCTATTTGTCGTTATAGATATTAATTCCAGATTTCTGATGTATGGCATTTGATAACAAAACACTAAATATCATTTCTCAATTTTTATTCTATCGACTTTTGTCCCTTTTTTGTGTAATATATATTTTAAACATATCATGCATCGATAAACGAGCTGAAAAGAACTTGCTGCAAAACCTTAGACAATGGTTATTTTGAAAACGTCATGAATTACTAAAGAAGTTAATTTTCGTATGTAATTTATATAATTATAAGAATGAATTTTAATTAAGATCAAGATACATTTCATAAGATATGCAGATGATTAAAATGAGTACAAGTCATACATTCATCAAATTTAAAACATCTCATCACAAACAGTAGTTTATATATATATTATATAGCTTATGTCAAATCTTTATCACAAATTCTGTTTCCAAGAAAGACAAATACTTCCTAGAGCTAAAACATAATTACACCAGTATTTTGTGTTTTTTGAAAAATATATCGCAATATCATCATTTTGAATTAATATAAAAGATCATCATGGAACAGTACATTATAAACAATACATTACAACATCATGGTTTTTAATTTACATCAATCTAGACATATGGCGAACATAAATTTTCAGCTGTGATACACTAAAATGTTTGAGTGCTTTAAAATATCAATACTTCATTTCTGAAACGAAAAAAATAAACAATTGAAATAAATTTGAAATTGAAATCATGACACATTGAATTTTTCTTATAGGAGAACACTGAATACATTAAGATATTGACTACTTATTTAGAACTTAAATATTTCCCCCACCATTTACTGGCCCTTATGACCTTTTCTGTCGGAAGGCCCTAATGAAAATAACACCGTTTTAAAAAAGTTTATCGACAAATAATTTGTATTTACTATTAAAGACGGAAAGTTTAACATTCAAATGTTACTTGCAATACATATGTATCGTTATATATAAATGGAACAAATTAATTAATGTCAGACACAGCGAAGTAAATGAAAAATATGATGAAATGTCTTTAAACTATTCTAAATGCATATACATAATTTTACTATCTTAAGTTAAGTTATTGCGTTGCTATATTTAAGATAAATACATATTAACGTGATTTAGATATCATTTGTAAAATAGAGCACCTTGAGAGCATTAATGTAAAATTGTTCAAAAGAAGAACCTCCAAGACATGTTACAATTTAGTCCATGCCTAGTTTTCTAACACGTGATTGAGATATATAGTGACTAGTTCAAAATCAATAAAATGATTTGTTAAATAATATATATCTATTGTTTTCTGCCTTATGTCCGACATGACACTTGTTCCTTTGCTTTATATCTCTACCTCGAGTTGTTGTTCTTTGCTACCTTTACAAAGTTTCCATTTTTTAACTCAAAACTTATAGCATTCGATCTCTAAGTAGATACATGTCTCTTATGCACTAAACATTCGATTGAAGCACTGTGATTAAACTGATAAAAAAGCTATATAATTTTCACTTTATTCTGGTAATTCTTTAAGTTTGTTTTCTTCCTCATCTCCAAAGTAAAAAGCTGCTTTTTCTTCTTTTTCGCTTAACTCCTGGTTTTTCCTATCCTTCCTTCTTTTGTTCACACGCCTGAAAAAGACAATATAAAACAATTCAGATTTGGATGTGACTTTAATTTTGACATTTTATTTTAATTATTGGTGTAAAGTGATATCAAGCATGGTTAAATGGTAAGATCGTGACGTCAAAAAGTAAAAAATGTATTATTCAAATGTGAAATGGATGAAAAAAAATATTTGTCCGTAACAAATTAATACAAAATGTGTCTCCCAAACGCCTTCACCAAAAGCTCATATCAATGGAAGGAATTGAATCGCGTTTGAAGTTATTCTGATACCTTTGGTTTTGTAACATCTCACAATATACCAAAGAAATGACAGTAACAAATTACCAATATGTCAACTTAATCATAATTCAAACTCAAAGTCAATCAAACTGGGGCAAAATATTAACAAAACAAAGGTTTACACGGAGATTCTTGAAAAGTACACAGAGAATAAGACCATGTGTTCTGGAAGAGTAAGCGTCTTCTGATTCATCGACGACACCCGCCATGTAAACCTTGGTCAATCCAAGTAAGTAATGTCACGTTCTCAAATGAGAACAAATATAAAACAATGGAGGTAAACTAATGAGCACCATACACATTCATCTTCAGGTCACACAACCAAAAAGAATATTTCCCGATGACATTATTATGGCGGTCATAAAATTCCCCATAATTTTCATTAACCAATATGATAGATAAACTTTAAATCTCGACTCACATCAAAAGTACAGAGATAGATTAGCGAGATGTATGATGTGAACAAAAATATATCTTAGATTCTGTTAACATTCACAAAGCGTACATTTCATTAGGATGTTAATCAGGATTTAACTCAATCGCCTTTTATACGGGAGGACAAGGCGGTGTTTTGGAACTCGAATCATCGATATTTTCTGACTCGTCGATATTTATAAATATTATTATAGTACAATACGAAGGAACATGGTTGACCGGATAGTCAAAGGCTGCGTGTAAACAGTGTCTCCAAACCTCGTGGAAACTCTTTTGCGGTTCGAGAAAATCTTGAAAGCCAACATCATACCGATGTCGCTTCAAAAATCTTACGACTGTGCGGTTTAATTCTACTTTGCAGTCTTAATAGATTTATCAGCGATCAATTTAAACCAAAACCTATGCACAAAGAGGTGTCGCTTCTGCAGTACACAAGTAATACCTAGGCTTGTGCTTTCTATTTCTTGCGATTATAGTAAAAAAAAAAAAAAAAAAAAAACATCTTAACAGACAATTAGGAACAAAAACAATTACTAGAAGATTTATGAAAAAGTACAAGGAAAATATAACTGGGTGTTCTGGAAGGTATCCACCATGTATGGGATTGGCGGAATGCATAGCAATAAAGCTTGATAATTCATACTATTTCTAATGTTTCTTCCGGTTATGGAATGCAATGGAATTTTAATAATGCATTTCAAACACTGTTAAGTAGGTTGTAATTGGTAAATTTGTCCGCGTTAGGATAATCTGGGTGGGATGCGATAGTTGTAGGTGTAAATGTGTATATACTTACATTCCAAGGTCTTCGGTGTCGTGGCGACATGAGTCACGTCGTACTTGTAACCAGATTGACGTTTTGCTCATTTCCTCGGAGATATTAACACGTTCATCGAAGTTTCCTTTAGGTTTTTCATATTCATCCTCCAGTAAGCCTGCAGTCTGTACAGGAACAACAAATACCAAAGTATTAACATAATATTAACCAGAGATAAAAAATATGTATATCTATTAACAATCTTTTAAAAATAAAATAAACATGAACAAAACAGATAAACGAAAATGAAACTTAAAAGTTGATTCCGATATAGGTACTTTTGTCCTGCATCGCATGCAATACGAATCTCGCGAGATTTATATCAACAAATACTAGTCATTCCATAAGGTGTTTCAACGAGATTTTCGTCTTATTTTGGTAACACTTTATTGTCTAAGTTAATTTTCAAAAAGCCAAGTCCAATTCTATTAGGTTGGTGTTTCACAGGTTGTCTCCGAAAAATCCTGTTATCACAAAACAGTCATTCACCTCAGCATTTTTATTCTTGTCCTCTTTCGCCCTTGCCTTATCTTCTGGCATGAGATCGTCAAGCCATTTCAGCTCGTGTTGTGTAAATATCTTTCCCATGGCCATCCTCACAAAACACGTGCCGGCAACCTAAACGAAACATATGATTCACTTTATTAACTAGAGGTAAACAGAGACATTTTTAAAACGATGTTTTCATCGTTGATTTTAAAATTAATTCAATATGTTGAAATTAAAATATATTTTATGACCTTTTGATTTAGAAATGGATAGGTTTAAAAAAATGTATAAATTATCCTTTCGCCAGCAGAGAGGGAAGTGGGGGAGTAGTGCTTTTTACACGATCAGTCAATTAATAAAATCAATTTGGTGGATTTTGATTTTTCAGTGTTGTAGAACATCACCATGAAAACGTGTACACTCGAAACTAGTGAAACCATTCAACAAATTAAGATATTCTTTCATACTTGGTCTGGTCAGGGCAATACCAACCATAAGGAATGAATAATTTCTCTTACCATTATAGGGAACACAATTGAAATAGATTTGACTTGTTTGATGACCCAAAGAACGGCCAAGCAGAGGATTTGGATGAATGTAAACAGGTGAACGCGCTTGATCCTGACGTGACGAAGGTACAGTCGGTCTGGCTGGTATTTTGAAGGCATGAAGATGAGCGCAATTCTGTCCACCAACTGGAAAATAAAGACCACGTCGTATAACATAATGAAAAATCATAAATAAATTTATTTATTTTCATTAAAGAAGATATCCTTTTTTATGGAAGGTGCAAGTGCCTACATATGTTAATTTTCAAGAGAATCATTCATGGACATTCAACAGAACAAATATTACAGCCAACTGCTTATTCACTTGCAATATAGATCAAACTTGCTACAAGGATTGTTATTATTTTTCAAAGAAGTTTTTGAGTTTACATTAATTCTTTGATTTCTTAACTAAATAGACACTTTACCTTACTAGATATGAATAAAATTCTGACCAAATGTTACATTTATGCAGATACTACACAAAGTGTTTTCCCTACTTCCATCGAAATATATTAGCATTGAAATACTACATGTTATACCACTCACATACTTCTAAGTGCCTTTGCTTAATTAATTTGCCAAAGGTCGAATTCAATCTTTGACCAAAAAAACTTGACCGATAACCAGAACAGACAGACATTTTAACTTTTCACATGGTTTACCCCCATCTCTCCCACATGGTTTGCAGACATAACAAAAACATTTTTGAATTGAGTATGTATCCTTAATCATAATTATCATAATTTTCCTTGTCAAGGAAACGCATCTATATACATACGTATTACCTCATGAATTATAAACACTTTCGATCACAGTTGAGTGTGATGAGTATATTTCTAGATCGTAAGTGTCTTTGCTATAAAAACATTTGTACTTAAACGAAACAAATAATGGTGAAATTTCATCTAAAAAGAAAAATAGTTTTCATCAATAAAATACAATTTTACATACCTAAAATTAAGGAATAATTTAAACGTATGTATAATTATACCTATATTTGTATGTTCGATTACAGCAGTGACAAGACGAGGACATAAAGAAACAACAACATGTCAAGGTATTATGTTTGAATTTAGCCCCTCTAGAAAAGCCTACATGCAGTCAACACCTACCTGCATTCCTTTGAGAGCAGCAACTCCCATGTACAAGAAGACTCCATAGAGTACAGGCATAGGAATTACCTGAATATAAAAAAATCATGTTTAATATCATAATCAATTGCTTTTTATAGGACCGATCGTGATAAATCCAATAATTAGGATTGAAGGCCTTCATAAGGACTGGATAAAAGACATAATTTAATAAAAGATCTTAACAGACACTTAGTATTACACATATTCAACTTTACCATACCACGATTTCGGTATTTTCGTACAAAGACAATTGTGAACAACTTATTGCGCGTTTTAATTTCCGTGAATACGTAAAGACCCTTCATGCCGTCATGCCAACCAATTAAAATGCGTTTACAGTTTATTGCATGTGTGGTAGAAATGATTGTTATATAGTTATACTGCCTGGTGTCTTTGGAACTAAGTAGCATCCACTTATTGATGTAGAAATTCTTTTACCTCAATACATCAAATTGTAATACTAATTTGGAACAGTCTAATGATAGTTAGTCAATATAATTAATTTTTACGTGTACTTACACCAAGAATTTTTGTTAGAAATACGGCCAATCCACTGAGAATTCCAACCATCAAAGCTGTTACTCTCTGCTCACTGAAAACAAACATTTTTTTGTAATTTGTCATTATGTTACTGAACAAAACTACAAGAAAACGCCAACAAATTAACATGCCACCATGTCGACATAATCATAATCCAACCCTAAATTCGATAAAGCCATGGCTAAAATGATCAAAAGAAAGATGTACACGAAGACTCCTAAAAACGTACGAAGAGGAATAAGAACAAACGTCTATCTAACATATTCATGTACGTCTTATTGAATTTCTAAATTAATTTGGTAAATTTATCAATGACTATATGCTTTCGCTTGATCAACAGCTGAATGACCAATATGTTTAATTACAAAGATTAGTAAAAAATGTTTTGGAGAGAGATATCGGATCAAAATAGTGATTGTGCATTATAATTTAATAACTTTATTTATAAAAGCAATCAAGTTAGTGACTTACCGAACGCCAAGGAAAGCGGGTCTTTCTCCTGGAGCAGTGCATTCAGACTCTTTTTTCAGACTCATAACATGGGCCAGAGCCGAAACAGTGGCAGCGACATACCATGGAAGACCGAGGAAGGAGCAAGCGAGAATACAAATAGCTACAACCATCATATCCAAATGGTACCCACTTCCTTTCTGCAATTGTCAATATAAGAAAAATTGATTTTTAAGTGAAATAACAGCAAAATCCATGTTTATTTTGTAATGTACAAAAAACAAACAGTTTTGGTTCTACAAAGAATTCATAGAAAGAGAAAATAAACAGAAATGGTGATTCTTAGTTACCTCTATCAATTAGATCAAATTTCCCCATACATTAAATATCTATATCTGTGGCCAATGATTAAACACAGCAAGAAAATACCACCATGTCAATATAATCATAATCCTTACTCAAATTCAATAAAACTAGTAAATACCAACATGTCAACATAATCATAATCCAAACTCAAATTCAACAAGACTGGAACAAAATATAAACGACAAAATTTACACGGAGACTCCTGAAAAAGTACAAGGAGAATGAAACCAGGTTTTCTTCACAAATTGAATTATGATTTGCTTTCCTACCTTTAGTTTATTTTCTTTCCTGTTGACGATGACTGCTGTGATTTGCTGATCCATGAACACAAGGATCACTGCCAGAGCAGCAGGGACAGCCGCAGCTAAAGCCAACCACCAGGGGTTGTTAGGATGGAACGGACTGACAACCCAACCTCGGCCAGGTCTGCTGGTCTGTATGGTATAATAAAGATTATCACCAATAATATCTAGACTATATGGTATCAAAAGCTGATCATCTATATATCTTAACAAGCATCACGTGAACTAGTAATGACAAACAATGATTAGTCTTCATGCTATTTATAATACAAACTAGTCTTTCTTTTTAAATTATATTCACACCAGACCTTACCATCATGAATTTTAAACCACCAATGATGTTTTGATAAGTTGTATCTTTTATTGATATATATATATTGATATATTCTGTGATGGGAAAGTGTAAGGATTCTAAAACCAAATCACACAAGTAGTATAACATTTTCGTATTTTAGAATACAAATCTAAAATTTAATCCGTAAGGCCAAACAGTAAAGAACATTAAAAGATATTAACTTACAGTAAATTCCGAAGGGACTTCAAGTTTGGGAGTTGGTACACCGATCAGCATATCTACCGCCACCATGACAATGATGGAGGTGAGAACAGCAAAGTCACTGAAGAGTTGGCGGACCTGTACAAATGAAGAAAATGTGTGTTGATTGGATTTCTACTGCATTTTCTACGGTCTTTGCTGAGTATCCTTTCCAAATAAATGGAATTTAACTTAGAATGCTGTATTTATGAAGTAGAGCTACTTGTTCGAAAATGTAGTTTCTTTGATGATGATGATGATAGACAACAATTTTGGATAATATACATGCGAATGTGATAGCTCGACCATTCCAAAAGTATAACTAATACATGTGTTATCATAGCGTCAAAATATTCTGACACACTTTACCATTGAATGGATGTCGTTCTGAATTTATTGGGAAGTTGTTTTCTTTATTGGAAATTTAGAGGTTTAAAGAAAGCTTGCAGAGAAATAAAATTGATTATTCTCCGTCGATATCACAACAAAGGCACTTAACAGACACTCTTTAGTCATTTTCATCTTTCAGAAATCTGGTTGTGCGATTTTATTCTATCTTTGTAAATAAGACAATACGAACCACATGAAAACTTTTAAGTACACTTAAATTATGAAATCATTATTGATTACGATGAAATGTGCATTTTTAAATCAACCAACACTTACAGAAGTAGGAAAGAAACGACTGGTCTTCATGTCAGTAAGAGAAGAAGCGATGACGTATGTTCCGAGGAAAAGGAGAACAGAAAGGAAGAAGACATTTGGTTTGTATTCAGCATGTTCCATACATCCCTCTCCAACCAAAGTTCCGTTGAACATTTCACATGTGGTTTTGTTGAATGAGCTCCAGTCCATTGTCATATTGGTGGAGTTTCCGGTGGACCCAATCGAGTACATGTTATACCCAGTGTAGGTAGCGTTGAAGTCGGTCCCGTTTATGAAGGTATTGTTGGGGAATGGGTTTACACAATCGCAGACGTCGCTATAGTGATGCGGATTCAAAGGATAATTCTTGAGGATACCCAATTCCTTCTTAAAAGCTTCGTAGATGAAAATGAGAGCAATGAGGCAGGCGAAACTTTCCTCTGTAAACCGCGTTATATATCTAACGAGAGCGCTGAGGTCAAAGGCCACGATCAGCACACAATATACTGCCGTCCATATGCCTACCCAACATCGGAAAGGCATGTACACCAGGTCTTGGTCCCTGAAACGACATATTTACTACGTCAATACTGAAAAAGAATATTCTACAAACGTACTATAAGTGTAATTTGATTTAATATGCATGTTTTCACATTTCGTATATCTAAGACTGTACATTTTTTTGTTAAAAATATTTAGTTTCAGGACAAATTAATCTATTAAACATACTATTCAGCATTGTATTAAAAATAAAAGTGACCTGATTAAAAATCGCCCTAATCAAATAAACCGCAGGACACAAATATGATAAATAACTTTGAGGACTGTGCAATTGTCACAAGAGTAAAATTGAAGCTAAATATCAAGACAACTGTAATTATATAAAATGGATTTTGACAGCATTCATAATTAACCGTAAGTATCAAGCACATTTGATATATCCGGGATTCCATACAAAACCTGGTTTTTTGGACGATACTTACTTACAAACATTAAAGAGAATCATTTCTAGCACCAACATTGGTCCGGTACTGCCGAGAATATTCAACGGCTGGCCGGCGAATAAGGCAAACAGGATTCCTGTCAGAGATGCCGTTAAAATACACTCCATCGTACCCTGTAAACAAATAATTATTCCAACAGTATTATTGTATGAGGTATCTTCAACATATGCTGGTTACAAGTGGAATAGTATTTTAACACTATTATTCAACATTTATAAATGTAAGATGCCAAGAAGAATTTTTTAAAAATCCAAAAAAGAAGTGTAGGCTTAATCTTATTACACCACGTGATATTAAAATATTTTAATGATTAACTTTGATTTGTTATCGCGAACTCTCATAACTCGAAGACCCCGTTAAATTAGAATCACATCGTCAGTCTCTGCCTAACTTTAACCTGACTTAGATCGAACACTTGATTATCTCGACGTTTTCCCATGGTCCCGCCGAGTTCGAGATAAAGAGATACAACTGTACTTTGTTTTACTTTATTTTGCATCTGTTCTTTACTCTGCAGTCGTAAAGGTCAGCGTTAAAAAGGGAAGGAAGCAAACATTTAGATCTGCATGACTTACCATGTACTGTTCTGTGGCTTGGCCGAGAAGACCACCAAAGGTGACGTTTGGTGTGAGGGTGGCGAGGAAAAGGTAGATGACAGAGGCAACACACTGTATATGCATACAGTCCTTGAAGTCGCTCCAGTAGAACGGTAACTTTCTCTTTATATCTGCTATCATTCCTCCGAATAATCTAACGAGAAAGAAAAGTTTGTAAATATCATAAAATCATGAAACCAACCCATTTTATACCACAGTCTCTACAAAAATGAATTTTTCAGGTACATTATTCGTGTCTGTCCTCTTTATATGACTTATTAAATGTTTACCTGCCAGTCCGCTGGAGGGTAGGGTCACAGTGTGATTCTTCCTCCTCCTCCTCTGGGGGACCGCCAGCTGGAGTCACAGGTGCTCCGTTCTCGGTTGGGACGGAAACAGTGGTTGGTACTTTGGCGACCTTTCTTCCTTCCTAAAAGTATATTACCGACACATAAAAACCCTGTTCTGAATTATCGTTCATAGAATTTGATCCTGTTGGTATTTTCTCAAGATTAAAGCTAGCGAAGGTTCAATGTATTATTGGAACCTTCAACACAGGCGTGTAAGCAAAACGTGTGAAAATGTGAAAAGATAAAAGATTATTATTCATATTATCCTAGTACTTATCTATTATAAATTCTATGAAATGAAATGAAGGATATATTGATATGATTCAATATTATATGATGACAAATATGATCGTCACTCTTCGCCATTCTTCTACAAGGATTCATAATATTTCAGTTTGACTAAAGGCATATGAAATGAAGAGAGAGTGACCATATCACAGTGGTTATTTGTCTGACCGAATCACACCCCTTCTTAGTGTAGTACGACCACACAAGGCTACGATAATGCAATTTGAACAATCGCACCTGTAATTATCTAATTCTTACCTGTGATGGTACACTGTCAGGTGGTTCAATACGAATCTTTGGGTCCCATTCGCCAGGCGGTAGCACTGTTACCTGGTCGAGGAACTCGTCTATTCCGGATAATAGATCCTGTCGGTTTCTCGCTTTATAAGCCACTTCCCGGAATACCTTAGGAATGGGTTAGACAGAAGTTAAGGGGGCTCATAAGTCTATATTTGTCAGTAGCAGTATGGAAAATCAGTCAACAAATCTGCTCGATTGATGAAAAGTTTTTTTGAAACAAGATTTAGACAGCACAAGAAATCTTAGCGCGAACAGTTAATGTCAGGTACTGCAATGTTGTACGTAACACAAAAGATGTTACACATCCAGTATAAGTAATCAACACAGGCATTGTATGTGAAATTACTTAAATTTTTTCGACCAAAGCTTGAAGAAAAATGACAAACGTACTTTTCATTGAAGCCATGAAATGGACTATGGTTTTCAATCCTCGAAAATAGCAAAACACAGAAACATCGAGCCTTAACAGTAACCCATTTCTAGATTAAATGCAGTCTTCTCATATCTACAGTGTATGTGTGAACTGTTATATGAATTATAGTACATCTGGCCCCACTTGTTTAAAACATCTCAACTTGAGATTTCCTCAAGTCGAGATTTTCCTCAGCTGATATCTCCTCAAAAACGGCTTGTATAAAATTTTCTCAAGGAACAGGAGGAAGGCATCGGCTAGGATGTCCTGAAATTCCTTGAGGAATTTTCATACAAAATATTTTCAAGGAGATATTAGCTGAGAAAAATCTCGACTTGAGGAAATCTCAAGTTGAGATGTTTTATACAAGTGGGGCCTGGTTTAGGAATGTTTAGCAGCATATCACATCAGTAAGGACATCTCGTGGTCAGAATTTCATTCATATGATTTACGTCACATGATATGTGAGCTATATCTATAACTTGTTTACATTACATACCTCGTCGACAAGGATGGTAGATATAGACCGACCCATTTCGAAGTTTTTGGAGTAGCTCCCGGTGGGACCAAGCAAGATAAAGATGAAGCGCGTGGGGATTGGTACCTCCGTCATGTCACCAACATGTCGTCCTTCAGTTAGACGGACGAACGCCGTCACCTGGTATTTGAGGCAGTCCATCTCGCCGACCATGATGTTAGCAGCCTCGGCCCCTTCTGGGATCTTCCTCATGAAGTCCACATTTAACTGAATAGAGTTTGATCATGTTTAGAAATATATAATACGCACCACATAAAATTGAGGAAATATATTTTGTAGGTCAAGGTACTTTTTTATCCAATCAACGGATTGAAAGTTTTCATGCCATGAGGCGAAATAAAAACTTTTGCGACTAGCTGTTTAAGACGATCGCATATGCGCTTTGTTGGTTTTGTTGGGGTTTTCACCACTTTGAATTTCTATACACAATACCATGAAGCACTCACTGCGCTCGCTATGATATATTCAAAGATTGCGAACGACAGAGATCATAAACGATTTTCAAAATATAAACTGCTCGTGTTCTCTTTTTCTCCTTTTTGACATTGGATTCAGGACTAGTTAACCATGTATCATGACATTTTCTAACATTTTGTTATGATACTAACCTTTGTAGAGGAGGCGGAATCTGGCAGATCACCCATATTCTCCATATTTGGAATGCTGTTTGGGTTGCTACGGAGATTTGCACCCGAACGGTGGGAAAGGTGGCCCGAACTGTTCTCTGTTAATCAACAAACACATAGGGAATTCTATCTATTAAATATGTTGATGAAAACAATTTTACAAACGCATAACAATGTGGATTTTTCATTAAAATGTGTCATAGCTACTAATAATTTTATTTTTCAAAAACATTTACTCCGTGTTACAAAAGCAAATCGGAGACGGGTCTAGACAAAATGTATCTCTATTTAGTGACATGATAAAAACCTTTTTCTGCGCTTGTGAAAAAACAAGAAAATACCAACATGTCAACATAATCATCATCCAAACTCTAATTTAATAAAACTAGGGGAAAATATGAACGAAACAAAGACTTATACGGATATTTCCGAAAAAAGTACAAGTAGAAAAAGACCAGGTGTTCCGGAAGAGTAAGCGCGTATTTTGCTTCGACGACGTCCGCCATGTAAACCTTGGTCAGTCCAATGAAGATGTTAAGGAAGTGACGTTTGGTTGTCATGACACTAATATAACTTACCTCTACCCTTAACGGAGAAAGAACGACCAATTTCGGAGAAAGTCCTCTTCATGGAACGTCTCTTGAAACCGCCCTTGCTCGGATCGTCATCGCCAGGCATCACACTGCGTCTACGCTTCTGGTGCTGGTTCCAATGCAAGGACACAATGGCCGCCCTGATTGGGTCTCGTAGACGTTCCTCTAACTGTTTATTGTTGATCAGGGAGTCGAGGATCATGTCTGTATCAAAGATTTAATGCTTATTTACTATCAATGTAGAAATCTGACAAATTATCATGAAATTAAATCACATGCTTTCTCTTAGTGTCGTGTTATACCTTAAAGATGTGTTTTCAATTATTAACAACACAGTGGTTTTACATATTATTTAATGCAAATTAATATATCTCTACGTATTGGTTTTGCTGATTTCACATATAACCGAGTTTATTTCTTCCATCTTTAAAAAATTAACATAACATTTCGAGTATATACTATTCGTTACCTGCGATTTGACCAATATGGTAGGCATCCATTGAGAGCATGACAGCGCCCTGTAGGAGAGAGGACCTCAGCTCGAAAAGGGAATGAAGAGATAGCGAAGCAACGTGGGGCTTGGACCATCTTGAACCGCCCTCCTCTACATCCTCTTCGTATTTCACCCATCTAAAGATAAAACAAAATAGTAGGAATAATTGAAAGCCAATCATTCTTCCCAGAAATATTTTAGATGAACGACCAATGATCAACTGTATAAATTCCATTCGTTTATTTTTAAGTATACAACTCACACGCGAAAACATTTCAATATTCTGTTTCTCATTTTTTTTTTTTTACAAACCTGGCCGCTTCCCTCCACTGGTACTCCACACCTACACGTTGTAGTGTGTCTAACTGACAGAAAATATTGTGAGTTTCCTCGTCTATCTCGCCAATCAGATGTTGAATCTTTTCGCTGGGCGACATGGAAGCTGTCGATATATGAGAGATATATACATTACAGCATCAGCAGAAGTGTCAATATTTCATTGGAGAGAATTAACCTGTTTTATTGATGTTGATCTTACGTCGGTCTCACTTTGGCAGTGTCAAGAATTTGGTTTCCACCTCACAGCGCCCTCTAGTAGTGTCAACATTTCATATTTGTATACTGTACATCGTTCATCAGTAGTGTCAACGTTATAACGAGGTATACTGTACACAGCGCCCTCTAGTAGTGTCAACATTTCATTAGTGTATACTGTACAGAATTCACCGGAAGTGCTAAGGTTCAGCTGTGTATACCTCACAGCGCCCTCTAGTAGTGTCAACATTTCATTTGTGTATACTGTACAGAATTCACCGGAAGTGCTAAGGTTTAGCTGTGTATATCTCACAGCGCCCTCTAGGAGTGTCAACATTTTAGTTGTGTATACTGTACATCGTTCATCAGTAGTGTCAACGTTATAACGAGGTATACTGTACACAGCGCCCTCTAGAAGTGTCAACATTTCATCTGTGTATACTGTACAGAATTCACCGGAAGTGCCAAGATTAAGCTGTGTATAGCTCACAGCGCCCTCTAGTAGTGTCAACATTTTAGTTGTGTATGCCGTTCAACGGCAAAAATGAAAAATATCTATAGCTCCCTCTACGTAGTAGTAAATTGAATGTGCACAAGTATATGTGAAAAGCGCGGAAAGAACCGATAAACTGAAGTGTAAAACGTTATCAATACAGCACCTTAACACAAACAGAGTATTATCACTTATTTTTTTTTCAAATCAGCAAGAAATATCACGTAAAACGAGATATAAGTCTCCAGCTTTAATATTATTTACAACTGTGTTAAGTACATGCTCATCCAATGTTACTCTTTTTGAAAACAGCCTCTGATCTATCAGTGAGACGAGTGTCGATCTCCCAACATAATATTGGTACCCTTAGCTTACATGATCACAAAATAACACGTCATGTAAAAAGAAACATGTCCACAACATTTACAACCATACTGCACATCAAGAAGTCCTACCAGACGCCCATCACAGATGTTATTACGTAAACAATCACAGATATAAACCTTCAATCAACGATTTCGACAAATATTTACCTTCACCATGTCACTACTTTCTTGTAAAACAACAAAACCGGTTAAATTTATGTCACATTGACGTACATGGAGACACGTGCAAAAAATATTCAGTATTAATTACACAATATTCCATTTGTAAACGTATTGAGCGGTATTAGTAAATGACGCAGTATTCCAAACATGTGCCGAAAATACATAACATATATATATATTTATGACATATGATCGTTATTTCAATTTTACCAATGTACAATGAAAAACAATTATAAGCCCCCTCACCACACAGCCTGGTACACACTTACCGAGAAAGTTCTCAACAGCAGCTAAAAAGGGGGATAGAAGTCAGGAAATAGTACCTCCATTCTCAGAAGCTTTGTCAAAATTTATATGATATACAGGACACTCAAGGGAAATGAGACGAATCGTTGTATTAATTTAGTATTGAAACGTCGTGTTAGGGTATCTACATGTAAGGCAGTTGATATCATACTCCATATTTTGTTTTAATTGACAATTATTTCCAATATAACCTGACTTATACTAAAAGAAATAATCATTTATCGAAAGTGTAATCAGTCAACTAGAACAGCCAATTTAATGGCGTCGTTTCCATGCCAACAATAATGACGTTGCTATGGACACGCGATGAATGTCCTTTTGAATATTTTAAATGATACTGCTTTTTAACTAGTTTATATCGTGACATGTATTCATGTAACGCGCCTATTGATATGAAGGCAATCTTCAAGTACACGTTAAAGAAAACAGCCATATTTAAATATGATCCCCCAGGAAGATATTTATACGTAACACACTGAATGTGAATCAACGTCGATAGTGAAGTCATTTAAATGTATGGCGATCTCTTCATGGTATAAACTCGATTTATTTTTTCTAATTAAATTTTAATAAAAATTTCTATAATGCGATTAACAAGTTATGTGTATATAGGTCAGATCTGTGTACTTTATACCTAAAGATATTTCCGTGTCATACAACTGTGTTACAAAAACATCCATAAAACACTGCATTCGCCCTAGATTTTCCAAAAATGAAATAAACAGACATGCAATTCTCGTGACGTCACAAGTCAGGTTCATCCCGAGTAAAAAATATTCTCCGCTGTCTGATTGGCCAATACATTTTATTTTTTGTATTTTCATGGATTGAATCTGTTGAAATATCATGTTTAAACTACAAATAACACAAATTGTGCAGTAATGCACGTGTGTTATATGAGCGCGCATGTGATACCTACTGGGAGGAGCGGCGTCTACATGGTTGACAGTGTAGGATGCGCTGGTCTTGCCGCGGTGTTTGTGATGGTGCTTTCCCGGCCTGTGAGGACGACTTGGTAGGCGCAGACCGATGTAGGTACTGTCCATGTGATGACTATCACCTGAAATATGCGTCACAAAACATAAGGATGATATCTAGATAACATATTAACAGTTTCTAGAAGAGAAAAACTTACTTTGTTCTAACTATACTGTTTCATTTAAATGGTTTCTAATCCAATATACTGAACACAGGAACAAGAAGAAATTTCTGTAATTTATATCGCTACAAATATTGGTTATACTCATTATTTTACGCGTTGCATTAAAACAAATCACGGATATTGAGATGCTTTGTTGTTCTTTCATCTTATTCCTCTTTCAATCTTTTGGAATCTTTAATTCATAAGACACGAGAATTTCATATGTAGAACGTGTACTATTGATATTATGATCCTTATAACTAAGTAAGGGAATTAAGCTTCACTCTCCTGTGATGGGCGAAAGAGGGGCCAGATGAAAGAGAGAAGGGGGTGGGGGGGTATATCGGGTTAAATAGAATAAGATTGTTTTACATGTAAAAAAAAGAGAAGGCATCTTCTTTTCTCACCAATTAATCTCCTTTCCTCAAACAAATTTTATTTTCATTCCAAATGACCCCAAATTAAGAGCCCGCCCTTACTTACTGTAGCTATCATCGCTAAACTGCCGTCCAATTCCCTGGTCACGCACGACCGTGCCACCTTGCGTCACGAGATCAGAGCTCGACATGGCGCGTGATTAATGTCGCCTATTCCTTAGTAGATGTACTGCGACGTCACACTACACGTTACGCCCTTTTCAATGTCTTTGAACTCTGGAAGATAAAAATCAATATTTGTGTAAAATTCATATATAATAACGATGTTCTATATCACGAATACAGAAGTTCAAGATGAGGCAAACGCATCCAAATATATATTTTAGCTCTGTTTATAATAAATATATGCATGACATATATTTAAAGATTACGCTTAATGTTAAAACTATACATATTTCACGTTAAAACATGTTAAAAATTACGAGGGGCAACACTAAAACAGTCTACTGGTATATAGACGAAAATGGGGAGACAACTCTATAGTTTACATCAATAACGCAGATTGTCTGGGTATCAAGACTTTTTATAAGCCAATAAGTTTGTACCTTGTCATGATATCAAACGAAACAGAAACCGGATTTTAAAACTTATACCTACAGAGTCAATGATATACACTTATTAAGAGCCTAGTGGGTATTTACACACAGTCAAAGGTAAATTGCCGTAACACCTGCATAGTGCATAACAATCAATCTTTGTCAAGGTGAGAAAGTGCAAATATAACAATACCCTCAGGTAGGGGAAATGAAGGTCAGACAGATAGACGCACATAGACAGACATAGAAACTAGGACATATAGACGGACATTAAAACAGACGTATAGACATAAAAAGAAAAGAAAGGAAAAGAGATAATGACATACCTACAGAAAAGATGGAGACAGACAGATATCGAGACAGAGGCAGTTAGACAGACAAAGAAGCTCTGACGCAGACATAATGACAGACATTTGAATAAAAAGTCACATACATGCATACACATCAATTAAATTTGAGACAGAAACGAAAGGACAGACATTGAGATGGACGACATATAGAAAGACATCGAGTACTGGGGATTTACTGACACGTACATAAGTATTAGTAGATAAATATCGGGGCAAGGACATGTAAATAAAAATATAGATAGGTATATATAAACAGTATATGTACGATACTAGATATCCAGGAAAAAAGGACAAATGGAAATTGATTCATGTACAGAGAGAGAGAGAGAGAGAGAGAGAGAGAGAGAGAGGGAGGAGGGGGGGGGGGGCGGGGGGGGGGGGGGGGAGAGAGAGAGCGCGAGAAAAAAAAACAAATAATTGACGATGAGAAGAAAATCCAGCATTAATGGATTCAATAAATTCTTAAGATATTAAAGATTTACTTATGAAATAGTTGTCATCATGTTTACAAATTCAGTATGAAACGTTTTTATGGTAAAAACTTATATGAATATAAAACGAGAATTAAAATGTCTATATTTCATGCCTGTCTAACCTAGTGAAGTATGACATGTTCAGTGTGTAGGACGTTGGTTCCATTAGGGGTCACCGTGGCGGTACGTAGATGACGAAGAAGGTGAGTTAGACGTAAAAACAGATGTGACGGGAAATGTCAAAAGTCTCCAGAGTCAATGTTAGACATAGCCTGAAGGGGAGTACCACTTAAACATACATGTATGTTAATTTTATTAATACTGGTTTTATTCCATTCAGAATCTGCATTTGTTTAAATGCGTATGTCGCAATTTTCCATGGAACAAAGTATAACAATTTATGTATTAATAGCAAGCAGCGTATATGTAAACCCGGTGATAATCGGATCACCACAGCAGACCAATAGAATTTAGTAACTGGTGTTGTATAAAACAAATAACTTCTGTTTTATACTAAAGTGCCACTCAGACTACACGTACTTGAGTTCAAGTTTTAGCACTGATTTATATTTTAGTATTGAACATATGGTGTTAGGTCACACTACATACTCTATATACGGAAACCGAAAGTAGATGACCTCCATCAAGGACACTGTGGTTTTCAGTCGAGACGCAATTCATGATTTATAGAGCCTGAACAGATTAAGTTTATAACTTTTGTTGGATCAGTGAAAATAAGTCTATAAACTGATTTGTTAATGTTTCAGCTTTTTATTTCTCATGTTTTTCAGAAAACCATTATCCGATAATATGATATTCTGATTTTTAAGTTTACACGGATTTTCGACTACCCTCCCATACTCCATAACATTGTCTGGGAATAAGAAAGCATTTCATGCGTGACAAAACCTTCTCTTAAATATCTAAAGACGTCAGTACCGATGTATAAAGTTAAATTAACAAGAGGTTAAAACATATATCATGGGTAAGTAAACTTAGTCCCTAGCCTTTAACACCGTTTCCATGACAACATTATTATCTATGGAATTACGTCATAAGAATAGAGTGTGTACCTTTCAGATATCGTTTCCACGATATCAGACATAATTACTACCCTGTGTCATTTTGCCCCCTGCATATTACATGTTCCTTTTAAGCATGAAATTACTTCAGAATCGATGAAATAAGAGTCAACATATACATGAGCAATGACACAGGATAGTCATTATGTTTATGCCATTGTTGAAGAAATCTTGAATATATGAGTTCTTCAGGAATATGACGTAAGGAAATAGATTAACCTCGACTCCCGCCAATACACCTATGAATTATATGACGGCTTCATAAAAGTGGAAACGTTGGGAAGACAAACTTAATATGCGGGACAGACAGAGAGGTCTTGTTAAAAAAAAAGCAGTTATATAACGTCTCGAACGTGTAGAATATGGAAACACATCAGCTGGTCCAATACCTACAGAAACCTGTATTGTAGCAACACATTCTAGAACATAGAGACACGCGCAGTGTCACATGGTTAAAAAAAGACACACGTGCATTGTCACGTGTTCTACAATATAGATACACGTGCAGTGCCACATAGTTAACGGAACGTAGAAACATGTGCATTGTCACGTGTTCTACTATGTAAATACACGTGCAGTGCCACGTGGTTAAAAAACATAGAAACGCGTGTATTTTTACATGTTCTACAATGTATATACACGTGCAGTGTTGTATGGTTTAGAACATAAACACGTGCATTGTCACGTGTTCTACAATGTATATACACGTGCAGTGTCACATACATTTTTGATAGAGGCATACACAGTATCAGAACATATACAATGTAATCATCGTCTCAACGTCCAAGCCATCTTAATGCAACAAAGTAATGTCGATAATGCCATATGATTTCTTTATGAATATAAGCAAAAGATGCTTCAAGTTTCCTAAAATGATAATACACTTCACCGTTCCTGTCATCTGTAAGTGATATCCCCTTTCTGATAAGAATGGGCAATACCGCTGACATAGAATGCATAGAAACTAAAAAGTACGGGAGATCTTTCAGTGATAAACAAGTGTCAAATTGAGATATATTCCATTTTGTGCGACATGAAGCTGGACTTGTTTGATGTTCGTTAGTTTGCCTGTTGGTTTCATTGTTGTGTACATTGTATCGTTTGAAAACATGGCATTATGTACTTTAATTGATCAAGATTAAAAGGATGAGTGTCATCGATGAAGCAGAAGACGCTTACTCTTCCCGTCCTAATTCCATTGTACTTTTTCAGGAGTCACCGTTTAGATCATACTTTTATTCATGTTTTACCCTAGTTTTAGTGAACCTGAATTTGGATTATGATTTTGTTAACATTTGACATTTTTATGTTTGTTTTGCACATTCAGGTATAAATTTCTTCAAGTCGTCATACCTACATGCCCAAAATGTTCTGATGTTACATGTAACGTTCAATAGATAAGCAAACGACTATTTTACGTGACATTCATTTGAAAGAATTATTGGCATTGCCAATCTTTTTCTGGTAATTTTTGTCGATAGTCAATAATTAAAAGATAATCAAAAATAATTTTGCTGCCTCTTTGATTATTTAACAGGAATCGTCAAAATTGTTCACAACTATCAAAACAATTATCCAGTTGTCATTTTGTCCTCTTTAATACTTTATTCAAGTTTAGTTGACATCACCGTAGTATTTTTCTATCTACTTCCATGTCTTGTTAAATAAAATTGTGGCCATTGTTGGCTATTTCCATGCCTTATGGAGTAGAATTGGCAAAATTATTCTATTTTTGTTAAAATGCTTATCTTATTTGAACAACAATATTCTATCATCATTTACGACTTATTGGGTACAGTTGTGACCATCATTGTCTCTGTTCTTCTTTAAGGCTAATTGCTTTCGTTATCCCATATTTTTTTGTATACCTTTTGTTAAATTTACCATCTTCATTCTATGTTTTGTTATACCTATCTAAGTTGGATCATTTTCATAAATTATGTCTATTTATAGCGATGTAACTTAAATTCCCATCATTATTTTATCTTTTTTTTTATACCTGTTCAAGCTAAGTGAGCATCATTTTTCTGGGTTTTTTTATCGATATGAGTTGAATACCCTCATTATTCTATTTTTTTTTTTACATTTTTACCTTAAATGCCCATCATTATTCCATCTTTTTTACCTGTTTACCTTAAATAACCCTCATTATTCCATCTTTTTTATAGCAATAGAGGTGTACCATTATTATTCTTTTCCATAGGTTATTTAATAACAACTGTCAACGCTTTTTTTTGTCTGGTAAATGCCACAATTTCCTGTCCAGGAAAGCCCTTATACGAAATGCTTATTTATACCGACCACATGTCCTACTCGCATAGATAAAAGCTGACAGTTGTACGACTGACACACTTCCAAAAAGGATGATCACGTGATTAAGGAAAGTTGGTCTGAAGGTGAATGAAATTGCTATCGTAAACCGCGTTCTAGTGATACATTTATATAGTAGAGAATAGTGTTATAAATTTCTCCTGTCTGATAACACTGTTTAGTCACGTCAAAGTTTTCCTGTCATCGTCCGGCGCTTAACTATACTGACAGAGATGTCCTATCATTCACATACCATCAAACATTTAAGATAATCGCAAGACACTTATTGTTTTACAAGTATATTTTGTCAAACGACTTTAATCATCGTCATACATTACTTTCCAGCATATATATTCTGTCAAACATCCATACATACATAC